GTGGAACAATGGAGAGAATCTACCTTATGACCGCCATCTGAATGTTCCTAGTAACTTGTAATTGTGCATTTTATTCAAGATGTTCAAAACATGTTAGCAGAATAAATATTTCATATTTAGAAATAGTCTTCTTTTTTCATTTCTGACAAGAGCCCTACTTTATCTTTCAACTTTTATTTGATGTTGGGTTGAGTTATTTACCTTATATTTATCACACTAAAGCCCTTAACTTTCATTTTGAGCTCAGTTTCATGCAAATTCAGTTTGGCATCAAATATCTTTGAAAACACTGCAATTTGAAACTTTGCTCTGCTCTGAAAACAGAGCAACTAATCAGTGTAATATTGGGAGAGAATCCAGGACCTTAATCCTGAAAAGCTGGAGAGATCATGTACATGAACATGTGCATGCAACTGCAAACCAATCACTAGGCCTTGCACTACTTGCACTACAGCCAAAATTGTTCCATCTTATCCTCTTTTGTATAGGTTGGATGGTCATCTTAAGCGGAGCACCACAGAGAATCTACCTTCTGACTGCCCATCTGAGTCTTCTAACACTAAATTATGCAGTTTAATTAGCCAAAACTAGGCTTTCCCTCTCAGTTTAAAAGACAGTGGATATAACCTAGGAGGAGAAGCCTATCTCTGCTCCCAAGTCAAGCATAGATCACTTGTTAGTGAAATCAATCAAGTTGCTTGAACTTTACTTTTTCTTCCTTTTTTTTTAACTTTGGTTCTAGTGGGCCAGCAGACAGCAACTCAAACAAATAAGAGCTCAACATCAATAATTGAACAAAGTATTGCTTGTCCCCTTTATGGCTAACTCTCAAGTGTTTCCTATCAGGGTTTGCCCCCATTATAGCTATGGTATGACATTCAACTCGAATCTTATCACCCAAAACTATCCGTGTGCTCCAACTCTTTTCAATACACTGAGAACAGCATTAATCTCAACAAGCATAGAGAATTATGATTGTCATACAACACAGGAGACCATAGGATGAAAAATATATATTGCTGTCATATTTTATTCCAGCACATACGTTCTGCCTATACCAATGTAGCTACTAACAGAGTAGCTGTATTATGACAAGGAATTCTACACCTTGAGAGACGGATCGAAGATTTTTTTTAAACGGGGACAAATTTATTATATAATATATTTACTTAAATTTTTTTATTTAACGTAAAGATAATGTTTTCTAATTGTAACACAGAGTTTTAATAAAAAATTTTGAAATATTTGTTACACTACCAAATATATAAAATGTTTAAATAGAAATTAATAAAAATATAACAAAAACTTATAATATTAAATGCATAAAAAATTTAAATATCAAATAAACACAAATACATAATATTTTCATTTTTCAAATGAAAATAGTACTATAAAATTGAGTTAAATAGTTTTCATAAGTAGAAAATGTAGGATTTTTTTTATTGACATTATTAAAAGATATATAACTTTATTCAATTTCATATATTTCTTTTAAAATTTACTTTCTCTTATTAATAATATTTGTCTTTGACTAAATTAAATCAAATACTAATTTAATTTCTTTATAGTTTTTAAAACATAAGATAAGATATGAAAATACAAAATAGGACCAACAACAAGCTACTTTGATATAATTTTTAACTTTTTAAATAATTTTAAAATCGATAGTAGTTTTTTTTTTTTTTTAAATTTAGATTTTGTTAGATTATATTTCTACAAGTTTGATATGTTACATCTCTACAACATTATTTTACATCAAATACATATTATTATAAATTCTAAATAATGTTAAAAAAACACCTTATCATATTATCAATATAAAAGAAAAACAACAAGAGAAGAAAGTACTTTGATATGTTAAGAATAAATTTTTTTATCTTGAGTATTTTGTCATAGTTTTGTTTTACTTGCTATCTATATTTTACTATATAAGATTAATTTAGCTTTAGTTTAAGCTTTTTTTTTTCTTTTTACAAATATTTTAATATTTTATGCTTAACTTTGTCACTTTTACAATAATATAATGATATTTCAAATAAATAAAAAATTGAAGTCTGCAAATGGAAAGAGAGGAGAATAGAAAAATGGAGACAAAAGAAAGAAAAATAATACTAGATTGTGACTTAAGTTAGCTAAGTGAGGCTTACATAAAATAATTACTTATAAGCTAAAATTTATTAATATTTACATATGATACTTTATTTTTCTTTTGAAATGAGTCAATTTTTTTTACTAAAGTATATCTATACTTTATAATATTTTTAAAATTTTTCCTTTTATGTGTTTCCTTTTTTAATTTAGTGAGGGTAAAATGTAAAAATATTAAAATTTTTGTTTAATATCATAATATATTTAAAAAGGATTATAGGATTTCCGTCCCTGTATACCTCCATAGTTACTCAGGTATTGCAACAATTTGTGAGATGTAAATACTACTTGTTCAGCTATCAAAATTTTACCATGTTATGATATTGTTTTATGTGTATATATGTTAACAGGTTCAATCACTAAAGGTTCGGTTATTCCAGTAAATAATGCGTCAAAGCAACACAAAATGAGTAAGCTGAATTGCTAAGTTACACAGGTTTGAAAACCCACTCAAATCATGAGCCTACTCAAGCACCAAAGTAAGGGCGATTCAGACAATGTGGTCCAAGAGATCAAATTGAAAAAGAAAAATACTAGGGCTTAGAGCATTTTAAAACATTGTTTATTCTCACAGCATGTTAGCAATCCTAAGGAGATGATGGCTAATGGAAACATAAAATGGATTAAGGTCTGGACTGCGGGAAATGTGGAGGTTTGGGATTTGGGAAACTAATGAAGCACGCTAATTAATGGTGACTCACATGGAGATTTTGCTTTCACATGATCAATATTGATGTTATCTTACTTAACCTGCAAACAACATTTCTAACATTGAACCCTAATTATTCTGTCACACCTATATGCATCAATGTGCGCATGGTCTGCTTGCTATGGGCTTTGGTGGGCACAGAAATGAGGCCACCCTCTCTCTCTCTCTCTCTCTCTCTCTCTCTCTCTCTCTCTCTCTCTCTCTTATTCTCACATTTGGTTCAGAGAAAATGGACGGTAAATGTTCTGTTTGGAAAGGAAGCCATGATTATATACCAAGAAGACTCCAAATAAAACCCTAAGGAGGAAAGACTAAAATTTCACGTAAAACTTAGTCAGAAAGAAGCACTTTCTAAAGCATTTTATCTTTCGATCTGCTTCTTTCCAATGAGGAATCCTTCGGCTAAGCATGCCTCTTTACAAGTTAGATTTGTTCCATTATGAGTCCATGAGAGCACGCCCAATGATTATGTCGCTTGGAAAATTTTCATTGCTTTAAAGGGATTTTCATGCTTGACTTCAACCCAAGTAAAAGGATGTTCTACAAGTGAATAACAACCAAACAATTGTACTGCTTTTCTTGCTGGTTAGTCCTTTTATACATTATTACTAGATTCCTTAAGTTTGTTTCCCTTCCTCCTGCTATTTAAACGAAGCTGGTAAAATTTCAAAACATACTTCATGCGGTCAATTGCTGCCACCCCTCTCCCTGCCTATTCTTTGAACAATTTTAGCTCCTTCATGTTTTGCAACCTTGGAAGCTCATCATGAAGGCCTGAGCAGCAGAGCTGCGTGGCTGAAAATCTATGTCAATCTCTGATGAGCCAAAAGTTTAAAGACATTTCCCATGTCAAAGATCTGTCAATATCCAGTCTCTTCAAGGCATTTTCAGTCTAAATATATTGCTGAAATTTGAGACATATGAGAGTGCTGCAGCCTGAAGGTTCCTATATATATGCTTCCCTATCTCTCTATATATTATCAAGTTCAACTTTTTGCATAAGGATCTAACGAGTCTGCTAACCTGAAGGAGATAGAACTTCTGGCTGCCTTCGTCTTAAAACATCTTCTTGAACAGGTATGTAGTTACACCAAAGGTATTCTGTTAGTAAAAATTATTCCAACAACAAATTTTTTGTGAAAGGAACTTTTGTCAATCTTTTTGTACTCTTCTGCAACTTTTAGACAAAAATTAAGATATGATTTTGTGAACAGAGAATGACAGTTAATATTAGCATCTAAATTCTTTGTCCTTGTTTAGGAAGTAACAAAAGCTTTTTTCATTAAAATGCATCCTCCCTTATCTCACATTTGGTAGTAGATGGTCTCCATTATCCTTCTTGTTTTGGTGCTTTCAACCGTAAGCCTATAACTGCAACCTTTTTAATGAACAGTTGGTAAATATTTGGGTAGTGTATGACCATTATTTTTTTTTGTGGTTTGCTTTGGTTACAGCATAGACCATTTATATCTCGTCACTAACTACATGCATTAGAGTAGGACTGCGCTAGCAAGCCATTTTGCTCTTTTTTAGTGATTCTGAGCTGCTGGCATTTAACTTGTCTTCATTCGACTAATTAGTTCAACGTTGAGGAATGAACTTAAAATAAGATTCATTTTAGCCTGAGATGTAAAATTAAACTACTATTCTTCTTAGCTTATGCATATATATATATATATATATATTTATCATATCTGCAGCATGATTGGTCCCAAAGTAGGATGTTGTTCTTTTTTTCACAAAATGCAGCTTGTTTTCCTCTCCTCGCTGAAATATTTCACTTACTGCATCAAATTTTTTATCAAAAGGGATTGAATTAATTCACTTACCGCATATACGATTCTTAGCCAAAAGATTAAGCTTTTGTTTATCTGAAAATTTGTGAAAGCAAGATTAAAAGGTAAATTAAAAAAAAATGGCAAGGGGGGATGACAAGAGAAATAGTACTTGCAATGCTATATCAATTTGAAAACATAGATTACAATAAAGACACCCTTCATATGTATATCAAGAGCTGCAATACATTCAATATTAGGCCGAGTCAGACCCAAAGAGCACTCAGCCATAGTCCACCTAAAAGTAGTAATTTATTTGTACTTGCAATGCTCAATCTAGTAATAACTCCATGCCTAGTATTAATCAATACAAATTAAGGACACCAGCAGTCCCATAGCTAATACAATACCATTATATAGTTTTATTATGTACAGCAACCTGGATTAAAGACTTCTTTTCTTATAAGTGTGCTTCCTATAATTAGTATGTATGCTATAATTGCTAGAATATGCTTTCACTTCCACAGATCAATTTGACAACTCAAAGTGGATGTGGAGGCATATTCCTGATGAACAAATTCTGGCCTTCCGGATTCATTGGATAGAAAATTCATTTGTTCAGCCATTTGAAAGTTGTTGGCTGCATTGGAGTAGTTGTTTCCCTTGGAAGCTTCCTCATGACTGAGCTGAGAGGCAACAAATTTATCAAGAACTCGCCAATCTGTCACTTGATCCACAGCTTGTTCAGTACTATTGTTATAAAGCGAATTCAGATTTGGCTGATGCCCTGGGTTCATGTGCTCTTCTTGTGTTAGGGTTGAGGACTGCAATGTGCTTCCATTGTTCCTATCGTAACCATAAGGAGCTGAGTTGCAGTTTACACTAGCAGCAGATTGTGGAACTTTCGGACTTTCTAACTGAGGGAGCTGGAGCAAAGGGTCATGAGGCAAATTGTATTGCAACTCAAGCTCCTGCTTGCAGGGATAATGGGGATGGTATGATGCATAAGGCTGAGGAATTCGCCTTGGGGAATCAAGTTCCTGCATGAATGAGACCTGGTCGTCGTACCAACATGAAGATTCATATTCACCCACTTTTTGCACTGTTGTCATTCGCTTCTTGAACACCCTGCAAACCACCCATCCTTCTTCCTGCAGGAATAACAAAAACATCAAATTAGTCATACCATGGAAATGCAAAACTTCAAGGAGATCTCATTTTCGTGCATGGTTGTACATGTGTATAAAAATGTACACACATGGAATTGCACCAAACGTTTCTCAACTTAGAAAAAGAATAAATTATCAGATTTCCTACAAGCATTACTTAAGAAAAAAAAGGTTTAGAATTGATAAAATAGAAATTAAAAAATATATATCTTATGGAAAAGACAGGAATCACAAGCATTTTTTAATTACAGAGATAAAATGGTAAATATAATGTACAATATATATCAATTACTAATTAAAGTAAACAAAAACTTTTTTTACCTAGATAAAACAGTAAATATATATACTTACCTGAGGAGTTCCATTTTCATTTGTTTCTAGTCGATACTCATGCATGATCCAATCAGATTTTAGCCCATTGGGTGCTCGTCCTTTGTAGAAGACTAGGGTTTTTCTCATGCCAATGAGGCTATGCCTGGTGTAAATACCCTTGTCTCTTCCAGTAGCTTTCCAAAATCCTGCTTTTGTTGCTCTATTAGTGCGAGTACCTGTTGGATACTTCTTATCTTTGTGGCTAAAGAAGTACCAGTCATTCTGCTCCTCAGTTCCTATTCTGCACAATTCTGTTTATCCAAACAAACCAAAATAATCAATATCAATGGTTGATTAAATAATTTAGGCAAGGGTTTTGTTTTTTTTTTAAATGCTGTACCAGAAACAATGTGAGAAAAAATGGGAATATTTATACCTTGCAGATCCCATGGTTCAATTTTATAGAGGTCAACATCTTTGATGACATCCAGATCTATCCGTTTTGAAGCAACCTTTTTTCTGAGATAATAATCAACAAGTTCTTCATCTGTGGGATGGAACCTAAAGCCTGGGGGAACGTGTGTAAAGGTATTCATATTCTTTCAAAGACTCAAAACCTGCACATATTAAAATGGCACATTATCAGTAACATATATGAGCTCATAAAGATATACAAGCACAAAAAAAGTAAAATTTACAACAAATAGATAATTCAAAAGTTAGGAATCATGGAAGAATTGTCATGGAAGTGTATGACACAATTTGATACTAAATTCCAATCGAACGTATATCCACTACTACAGTTTGATATGTTCTCCATCCCAAATACTAGTGGGAATAAGAAGAAGCACAGATGAAATATGAATGGTAAAAAAATCACACACCTTTGATTTGGTGCGTGTTTTGGAACTAAAAGAAATTTAATTGAGACTTCTCACTTACAAGTTATAGTATGAAGCTAATTTACAATAAAAGGAGACTTGAAAACAAAAAAAGAGAAAAAGTAAGAAAAAAAATTCATATTATAAAGATATATTGTGAGATTATATGTTTCTCAAAGTTATAGACAATCCATATCAAATATGGCCGTGCAAGTCACCTAACCAGGATACAAAAGTTATTATATTGAGACAAACTGAACATTTGTTACACAAGTAGAGCACTTAAAGGGAAGTATAAATGTCTTCACATTTGAAGCAAATAAAGCACTATTAATTATTGTTTCAAGTAAAAATATATTTATCACTTACTCACTACTTTTGGTTTCCTTGCATGAAACATATGTATACACAAAAAATCATGCTGAATTCCATCCCTTATTGGCGTATGTAGTGCAGATCATACATGAACAAACATCATATGTTTCATGTGGAAGGCAAAGGATTATGGCGAAAAGAAAATCTCTTTGAGCATGGAAATTCAAAATGCATAAACCATGCATTATTACTATTTTGCCACATGATGTATGTTAGGACAACCGAAAATAGCCTATAACAGTTCCAAGAAAAAGGAGTGGATGCAAAAATATATTATTTGGATAAGGTCTAATTCAAGAGGGAATTGGTTTAACCTAATGCATTCTACTACCCAAACAAGATTTTGTCTCCAGCTGTAACAAAACAAATCATTATATCTAATAATGATTAAGTTAGATGCACTTCTAAGACAAGTTTTCTCAGACGGAAAGAGCTATCATTTTTTTGGCTTAACCTTTCTATTTTAGAATATATTGTAAGTTTTAGCTCCATATCTAAAAGTTGGCTACAAAATCTCCATGCTGCTTTCTATGCTACACCGAAAAAGCATATCCCTTGCATATGCATACATGGACTAAACGGGCATTAATGTATTACAGATAGATCGGGGTCCAGGATACAAAGTCTCTTGGAAGGGTATAAACAGGAAAGCTTTTAAGTCATTAATCCAATCTTCGCCTTTCTCCTATATGATTTAGGGTCATTAGCTCCAGATTCAAAACTTGTAATCTAATTCTGGATACTGTATAAAGGAGAAATGGTTTTTTTTTTTTTGGGTTGCTCAATTGTGAGAGGAAAAGAATTAGTTCCATTAATATGTGACATTCGATCATAATAGAATCTCATAAAGAGTATACAAAAACTAGGGATAAAACTGATGAGAAATTGAGAAGAATAAATATAAACACTACTCTACTCATAAAAACCATGGCTGTTTACTCATGAGTTTAATCCTAACTAATAAAATGTGCAAGATATATAAAGCTCAAGTTTTCTTGAATTTCAGCTATATGCTATATGAATGAAGAGTAGATGAACAATAAAGTGTTTCTCCACTCATAAAAGTGAATTCTGGATAGGTATAGGGAATCAAATTTAAAATCTTTACTTTATGAGACAGGCATAAGAAGAGTAATTGTTTAAGAACGACAATCGACAGAACATAAGTAAGATGATATTACATGTAATATTCAAAGTTAATATTCATAACTCATAAGAAGAAGAAGAAGAAAAAAAAGTAGTAGAAGAAAGAATAATGATGCATAAAACTTTTAATGATTCTTCGTTCCTTCTGTAATAATTTCGAGATGACAATTTCATGTACCCCATAACACTAGAACTATCATCTAATTCATATAAAGTGAGATCTAAACTCAACCATCTCAAAACTAAAAAAAAAAGTTGAACATGTGATATGTGGAAACAAGATTAATCCTCTGGTTGTGATACCTCAAAAAAAAAAAATTTTCAGAAAGAGAAGAAAAACAGCAGTTCTTTATGTCAAAGAAAAAGAAAATGTAGCTAGAGAACTTGAAAAACCTAGGAAATATAATGAAGAAAAAACAAAGACCTTAAGCGGTTAAGCCCCCTTGCATAAAATATCACCAAGTAATAGAAACAACCCAATAAAGGAGACGATACTTGGGATCTATGAAACAAGATTATATATATATATATATATATATAGGAATTAAAAAAGCATACAGATCAAACTGAAGCCATGTTGAGCTAAAAAGCAACAATCTTCAAGAACTGATCAAATAGTGAAAGACATCATATCTTGTATAGTTTCATATTTCATTGCTTAGAGTATAGCAGAAGCATCTTCTATTTATCTGAAACCTTAGGGAAATGATCACTCAAAAAACATTCAGAAAACAAATAAACTGAAAAGGAAACAGCAAAGAAAGAGGAAGAGAGCTCACGATAGCACAAGCTTGATAATTCTCTAGAGCCCCATAGTACCCTATCCAACTCAAACTGGTTAATCCTCAGAGATCTGATTGAAAACCAGACTCGTACGTGTATTTGCACCGATCAACTTAAAGCTAACTTTTTTGTTCACTCTCTTTTAACTTTAACAAGGCACAGCAATTGAACCAGACAAAAAAAACACAGAAAGAAAGCAAGAAAGGTGTGGGCGTGATGAAAAGTTATAACCCTCGGGAATTGAGCTGAAACCCCCCGACAACTAACTCTTATAGAGTCAATAACTTGTCCACTAGTTGTCGGCAGGGGAAGAGGGAGATCAGATCCCAAGGAAGGAAATTAAAGAATGAAAAGAGAAAAGAAAGGGGTGAGGAATGGGAAAACGAAGAAGAGATAGGGTTATATAAGAAGGGTAAGGGGAAACGAAAATGAGCAGTGCCAAGAAACAAACACATGCCCTAATAATCTATCCCTCTCAAATATTCTCTCTCTCTCTCTCTCTCTCTCTCTCTCTCTCTATCTTTTTTTTTTTTTAATCTTTTTCAGTGGAAATTGCTTGAGAGAGATTTATGTTAAAAAAAAATTACTCGGTAACCTCCAATGCCACCCCACCAGCTACTGACAAAGACCAGAAGAGTGTTTAATTTGCTCTTTTTTTTCAGAGAAAAGAGAAAGAGATTGATGAATGTTGTGTTCAGTTGATCCGACGGCAAAGATTGAATGGGCAGCTCGAAAGGCCTTCAAGGAAGCAAGAAAAGTGTTGCTTTCATTACTTAGAGACATGATCAGAAGCCTCTCCATTTCTTTTTATAATTTTACAAACATCTTTGTAGTTTTTGTTTTTAATTTTCTTTTAATTTCCCACTTTTTTTCTTTTGGTTTCTCTTGTATTTTTTTTTTTTTGTTCACCGCGTGATGTACACTTTAAGATTCATAATAATAACAGGAATATTACCCTTCTAGAATATGATCATGTCCATGCTCATTCTTAAGGTATGCATAGGGTTTTCACTTTACAGCCTTTTCTCTCTTCTCATTTCTTTATCTTTCTCCTCTCTAATTTAGAATTAAAATCAGCATTCATGGTGAAATGTATATAAAGTAAATCAGTTTCTTTTTCTTTTGAAAATATTAGCTTATTCAAGTTTACATAAATATAATACAAAGTTTATTCCCATGTAATAGTACTTAAAAAATACTTATATATTTGAATTTTGCAAAGAATAGAGAAAATTACTAACAATCTCGTGATCTGTTAATAAAATCTTAAATTTTTAATTTCAATGATCAATATTTAATTTCTCACAACCTTAAATATATATATATAAAGATATTTTTATAAGATAGGAAAAAAAATTATCTTCATTTGCTAAGCTCAAGTCTACAAAATTTTTACACGTACAAAATTAAAGTTTATTTGCAATAACTTTGATAGCTTATATATATTCAAAGATTCTTTTATTATAATACTAAATTTGATAAGTTTTTCGATATTTTTAATGCAACTTTGATTTTTGCTTCAGATAAAAAAAAAATACCATACTTTTACTCATTCCACCATCCAATTCTTTTTTAAAAAAAAAAACATCATCCAATATCTTTAACCAGTATTAAGAGTTTTTGTGCATTACTCATTAATCTAACTATAGCTTATCTCATATTAAATTTCTACATTATACAAAAATGGGTTAATTTGTAATTTGATATCTAAATTATATCATTTTTATAATTTAATATCTATGAAAAAATTTATAATTTGATACTTTAACTTTACTTTCGTCATATATTTTGAATTGTCGATTAATAGTATTAGTCAAAATAATTATATGATAAATATTGACTAATGAAAATGTATCATATGTTATAATTTTATTTGTTATTTTTCGTTATATCATTATATTATTAATGGAATTAAAATATGAGATAAATGGTTTGAAGAATTAAAAGTTTGAATACCAAACCATTAATTTTTTATGGGTATCAAATTATAAAAATTAGTGATATAATTCAAAAATCAAATTATATATTAACTTTACAAAAAATTTAAATGCAAAATTTTAGTTTTGATGTCTGAATTTTTAAATATATGTATATAAAATCGAGAAACATATATAACCTACCTCCATGACTTTCTGCTTTTTTATGTAAAGAAAAACTGATTTATAAAACTAGCAAAAGCACAAACCAAAATAATTTTTAAAAAAACTCAAAAAGTGCAAATATTTTTTTGGGTGCATAACTGTGCAAATATTTTAATGACATGAACATAATAGAAATGAAAAAAGCCATTTTTAAGGGGAGAGTTAAGTAAAATAAAATACTCTCAAAAAGTACTCGCCAGCAATTGCACGCGATGTGAGGCTCCCCCGTTGGTTGGTCTGCAATTTTTTATACTAATAATATATTTATAACCTTAATTATTTTATTTTATCATTAATTAATTTTTTCTCTTGTAAGTTTTAACTAGCTTTCACGAGCTGTCCCCACGGACCGACCCTATACACGTCAGATACTGACACTTTTCCAAATTAATCATATAAAGTAATATAAAAAATTCTTTTAAAAATAATACACTGACTCGATCGGCTAAACTCCAAGTCATAACCAGATAAGCCGAGTTTAAAGTTGCAGAGAAGGATATTATTTTTTTATTGAAAGCGTTAAAATTTAAATTTTGATAATTAAAATTAAAAATTAAAAATTTAATTAATATTAAAGTTCAAGAAAATATATTTATTTTTATCTCAAATTAACAAAATTTAAATTTTAATTGGTAAAATAAAATTAAAAATTTTTATTATTAAATCACGTGATTCTTATAAGAAATTAATACAAATGCATAAATCATTGATAAATAAGAACAAAAATTTACAAATATGAAATTTCAATTTTATAATCTTGCTTGTATACTTAATAAAATTAAAACTGCTATTTTCTAATTAAAATTTGATATATATAATTTTTACATTTTTTCAATAACTAATAGGATAATTACCCTTTTTTCCAAAATAAGATAATTATCTTTGTATCTTGGAACACAAAGAAAATTAGCACTTTCTATAGCAATATTGTATGAGTAAATTTTTTAAAAAAATTAATTTTTATTTATTTTAAAATTAATATTTATTTATTAATGAGATATGTTATTTAATTCATTGACATTTAGTGTGTCAAATATGATTTTTTTTTTTATTTCTATAAATAGTGGACTGCGGCTAATGGTTGGCGTGGACTAACCCATGATCATTAGGCTCCCGGTTTTGGATTGTAGGCTGGCTCTTTCAAGTGGGCCCTACCAGGTTAGCCATTTGGGCCCACTTTTCTGTGGGCTTCTCTCTCTTATTTATTTATTTTGTCATTTTCACTCTGTGTTTGTTTACACGGTGCTTGTGGTTGCCGATAAAGTAATAACACATATAAAATAAAAATGTGTGGCTTGGCCAGCGTCAGGGGCATCGCCTAGGGTTGAGGGATTGCATTAAAATTTAACAGGTGTTTGTGTGTATTTTTTGCTTTCTTTGTTTTGTTGGGGACAAAGTATAGAAGTGAAGCAAAAGTCTCTAACGTTATCCAACTGTCATCTTGGCCCCATTCTTGCTTGCTTGGCGTTGTGCCATTCGATCCTAAAAGCTCTACATGTATATATATATGTATATATGGACTTCAGCATAGTTGATTGATTATTAATTATACTATAGGTAATTGTTATAAATATTAATGTACATGAAATTGCTATTTTACTTTATTGATCAATAACTCGTAGTAAAAAACTTGAAGGTTAGGGTTTCAAATTATTTTGATGAATTTGTTTGTTTTATAAATTGTCACTTAATTAATAACAAGAAATTAAGAAAACAAGAACATGAGATTGGATGGAATGGGCTTTTTTAAAGAGTGAATTAAAAAAAAAATGTTATTCAACTAAACTTATGGTGGGAAGCTTTGATCATCACAAAAGCAAACACAAGGGTGAACAAAGAAATGGTCAAATAAAAAATTGGGTTCTCAAGACTGTCCATTTGGTTCAACATATGACATTTTCGAATGCACTAGAACACTAACAAGTTGTTCATTTGATAATAAAAGGAATTGGATTTGGTTAGGCCACGTACGGATCAAAAAAATGTAAATTATATAGCAAAGGCACATTTGTTTTCTTTCTGGTTTTGTTTTTTTGTTGCTTTGCAAATAAATGAAATGCAAAGGTTTTGTGACGTTGAAAAAGTTAATGAAAGCAAGTGGGTTTAGCTGAATCCCAACCAATGGTGGGGTTTCTTTTAATCATTGCTGACGTGAAGTCATTATTGTTTTGGTTCCCCACGTTTAATCAAGGGAAATGGGCAACTCTTCAAAAAACCTTAATTAAATTGAGCAGAAGGTTTCCATGCCTTTCTCCATTCTCCATTTCTCTCCAACTCTTATGTCCACGACATGGGTTCTTTCTATCTTTTCTTTTTCTTAAAAAAACCCTCATTTTCATCATGGTGAGTTCCTACTTGTCACCTACCAAATGTCTAATTATCGAGTTCTGCCTTGATCTCATCCAATTCATTGCTTTCAACTCTAATTGGTAAACAATTCATGCGTACATAAACCTTTAAGCCATTGTAGGCGGTACCTAGCTGGCTTGGAGAATTTGTTTTTGGAGCAAGTCATTCCTAGAATATATCTATATGTGTGTACCAAAGTGGTACAAACAAATGGGTATTGAGTAAAGCTTAAACAATATTATCAACAAGTAGGCCATATGCTTGATACATACCAATAAAATTTTATATTATATGCATATATAAATTTTAACTGTACAATTGAACATCAAACTTGAAGACTGTTTACCGGTCCATTATTCAAAGGGATGTGGGATTAGCTTTCCTAGTTTTTTTCCTGCTCTTTCCCTTGGAAACTTAATTAAGGTGCAAAGAATGATCAACATTCAATTAATTTTATTGACTTAATCATGACAAGGTAGACGAAAATTGGTATGTCTACAGAAACAAATTCACTGTGTTCATTTCTAAGTAAAAGCTGTCAAAGTTGATTACTTAGTAGGAACCTTCATTTGCTAGGCTACTTTTTTTTTTAATAAAGAAGATCGTAATTTGAAAATATAAAAAATCAGATTTCATTTTTGAAGATTTTGATAATTGGTATCTATAATCGTATAATCTTAAGGTTTTTAAATGGTTTGCGGCCCTTTTTATAGGAGTGTTGATACTTTACATATTTTTGGTTACTTAATTCGGAGCCGCAAAAGCTATTTTAATTCTTGTAAACTCTTGCAACTTGAAGTTTCCATATGACATGGCAAACATAAGTTGGATTTGTTTTCTTGTCTGTAATCGTATATTGGAATTCGTAAACCTGATATTCTACCCTTTCTCAAACTTCAAACCTGAATCATGATTGACATTTTACACGCCGCTCATGATCATCATCAATTATAAGAGACAAACAAATATTTTGTCTTGAATTTTTATGCATGCCATTTTGAAATGCCATTTCTTGATTTGAATTAATCAACCCTTTAACAAAGTCAACATTTCCTCCAGGGGCGAAATGGGGTCAGACCTCATCAACTTTGGTCTTGATTTGTCTCCAATGAATAAGATTGAGCCGAAATAAAATTGTGGGAAATGAGGTGTAGATCAGGTGCAACCATGGCCGCAGCTGAATTGAAGTTGGTGGAGGTGGGACTGAAATAGATCAAATTGATAAAGAGAGTCAACTGAGACGCTGTTCCAATGATAACAACGCGGGACCCTGGACGTTTCTGTTGATATTTTCCTAGTAGTAATGTGGTAAACATGAGCAAGCGTTTAAGCCATTACCGAATCTCATTTTATAAAAGTTTATCAAGATCATTTTCTTATAATTGAAGCAAAATCTGCTTAGGAAGAGAAAATAGTTTATATATATATATATATATATATATTTAAGATAATCGGAAATCGAACTCTAATAATTAGCATTAAGAGCCTAACATTCTACCAAATCAAAATTGATAAAAAATTTTATCCCAATAATTAGCATTTGGAGGAGAACAGTATTCAAACGTTGAGCATTTCAGAAAACAACCTAGATAGAAGAAAAAGAAGAGGCGGAGGAGATGGCCCATCAACCAGATAACACTCTCTTTCTCTGACTAGGAAGCCAGGTTGCCCTGTCTGTTGCTTTTCCTCAAAGGTCATTGAGCCTTGAAGGGTACTCTCGTGATCTAAACAACATTGGCTTTTACAATGTGAACTGTTACAAAAGGGATTGGCACTGCACAAAAGAGCTCTTTTTTTTCTCAAGGCACATCATATTGAATAAAAATAAGTTTGGGAGCTGTCCCACAAAGCAGTTATAGTTGAGATCAATCCCTTGTACGGTCTGTTGTGTGGGGCTTCCCCTAAGATAAGGCCAGCAAATGTAGGATAATCCTAATATGTAAGGCGATATTCCCTGTAGTGCATTCACATTTGAAGTAAACGGGACGATGCAATTTCCTCTTCTCTGTCAAGTTCCCTAACCTTGGTAGACAGTCCCTTTCTATTCATACGGATGTATAAATTGGTAATTAAATGAACTTAACAAAATGAATTGGACTCTTAAAAGATGAATCAAACCCAAGAAAATGGGGCATAACATTTGTTGATCTAATGAAACAATGGCCAAATGTTAAGTCCTCATTTTTCCTTCCTTGTTTATGTTTTCTTCGTACTTTCCTAGAGATATGATCTTTTTTCCGACTCTGTTTTTCTTTTAGTACCTTTTTTCTTTCTCTTTTTCCTCGTTCCAAACAAAAGTCTACAACTTTAGATAAAGTTGGCAGATGTTATCTCGCAGATAGATAAAAAGATGCATAAATTCATGTTGTTAGGTACGTTGAAAGAGCTAATTGGTGTGGTTTTCCTAATAATTTTGTAGCTAATTATAATCATACCCATGGGGTCAATGAATATCGAATTACGTATATCGAACGTAACCAGACAGCCCATATGGTGTGCGTGTGTGTGTGAAACTGTTTGGAAAAAATCTTACTAAAAAACAAGAAGAGTAACAAGTTATGGCGTCTATGTTCATAATCCCAACCCACAAGAAAGGCCAGACAAATTGGGCAGCAACTACCTGGCCCAATAAGTCAGCCCAAGTATGTACTACCAACAATGGATTTCGAAAATACAGAAAGCTAATCATTTTCGGGCCCAATTAAGGGAAGTCGAGTCATTCTGATCCTTTCTGCCTCTACTTCTCACATCTGATCTTGGAAATCCCTATCTTGGTTGGACCAAATCTAGTCGAAACAAACTGATTCTCTTTTAGTTATAACTAACAATTAGGACAGAAACTTATTGCAGATATATTTTCAGTCAGATTCTTCAATAAATTATTAATTCTTCAACTAAGTAGATTGACTTACTAATATTTTACTCATCATTTGCAACCCTTACTGAACCAAATTCACCAAGTGCAACTCCCCAACAACTATGTTTTTTTTTTCTTTGAGAGGTTATAAGAATACAGTTCAATATTATAATAAAAAAATTGGAAGACATCAAGATGAAAATATACAATTAGAAAGATTGTCACCTTGTAATTTTGTATCGATCCACGTATAATAGATTAATATATTCTATTGTTATGCTGAGTAAAATATTAATACTATGGTGTCACGAAGAATCACAGCAGATCTTAAGGTCCATGCACAGAGAAAGAACAACAAACTTTCAAATCGGGAGATACCCTTTGTCCACTTGCCTATGCTGGCGATTCTCAAACATAATTATCAAAGAAATTTGTCGCCTTTAAGCTTTGCAGGTTAAGTAGTTTAATGTAATGAAGCAGACAAAATTAGTGTTTCATACGCATGTCAAGTCAAGGAACTAATAAATAAAAGAATTGGCTGCATTTTTGTCACCATTGGAGCAGATAATTGCATGTTGGAAAGAGGAATCCATATTATTCCAAATTTAAAGTCAGCTAACTTTTAGCTTCGGATTCAAATTCAGTGGCTTAAAAGATTTGGCATTCGTGTAACTTTTGATCTCTTTCTTCTTGCCCAAAATGGTCGTATTCTATTCTACTTAATTAAAATTGGACAAAACTTACATAAAATTTACATAAAAGATTAAAACTTGAAATGAAGTACAAATCAAAGAGAGCCCTTTCTCTTGCTGATATCAAATATTATAGATCGGCCATATCCCTCTAGTTCTTATCAGTTTATGTGTCATTTTTAAGTGTACCATCAAAGAAATAATGCAGCTTCTTTTAAGTGTCCTCCAATGTTATTTTTTGATTGACAGAGCTAAAAATGGACAAATTGATCCCCCTTACCCTCACCCTGATCTGTTGTTTTTGAGCATTAATTAACGTTATTTTATGCTCCCATGGCCATGGGTCAATTTACTTTGTACGACACTACAATTTTGCAAAACAGAAGCCTGCTTTTTCGCCTTCCGACTGTCTTCTGTCTTCTGGTTTAACCAATACCGATTCGCTTCACACATTATATATAATTAGATATTCGTGTATTTATATAATATAAAATATAAAATTTTATATTTATATTATATTTTATATAAAAATTATATGTTTTAATTTATGTTAACATAAAAATATTAATTTTATATTTTATATTTTATTAAATTTATATATAATTATTATTATAATTTTAAATCTTTTTTTTTTTTTCGAATAACAACATTATATCATATTTTAAATTAATTTATCTTCTCAACATACAAAAGTCTCCTCTCACTCATCAAAAGGGGCGGCTCGTATTTTCTTGTTTCTTCGATATATTAAATATCATTACTTTTTCTTGGTTTTGGAATGCGTAATTTTGACTATAGCCTTTACATATACCAAAAATAAGGAATAAAAAAAACATTTGGCTTTAATAAAAGGGATAGTGTGTAGTTCTCTTGAGGGATCGATGTCCAAGCGTCTCTACAATTATTTTTCGGGTGGTCCATTCAGAGCTTCCAAAGATCGCACATGGTACAATTTGTACTAAATCGTGGTCTACTATTGACTCTATTCCCTTGTTTATATTTCCTTAAGAAAAAATAATTTTTGACATAAAATACCCTTTTTAGTTCAAATTTCAATTCTTTTTTTCGAGAAAATAAAATTTCATTAACTGGATAATAAAACAAATATACTTATTAATTTTAGACAATACATAAAAATAATAAAAAATATATAATTTAAAATTTTAATAAAATTTAATAAAATTAAAAAATATATTTCATATTTAATGTATCAATAAGAATTATGATATAATAATTTTATATTTTATATATTTTTAATATGAAATAAATATAATAAAAATTTACTCTTAATCAGATCTTAATACAAATAATCTTTCAATCATTTTTTTGGCAATAAAAACATATTCTTAATTTTAAGATCTGATATATAGATCGCATATGCCTCATTATGAAACTCATGTTTTATTGTATAAAAAAAAGAATTCCAATGTTTATTTGCACTACAAGCTCTGTAACATACACATTTTTTTAATTACAAATGTGGTAACATTTTACAACAAGAAACTTATGATTTGTTTCCTTTTTCTGTCCCACGGTCCAAAATCATTACCGCGTGCCTGATGCCGACAGCCGACCATTCCATGTATTTTTCTTACATTTTAATATTCCAAATCTGATGATTCAAAAGGTCTCCCATATATATAAACATCCCTCAATATCCCTATAACCGAACCTTATTCTCTTCTTATGCTTTATGACTCGAATCCAAGCATACATCCACTGCTCAAAACCACCAAAGTCACCACTTCTGCTTTCCTATAAAACCAAACTCAGAAACCGACAGAACAAGAAAGAGAGGCATTGCTATGAGACCCATGTCTGAGAACGAACACCATTAGCAAATCCGACAAAAACCCATCTCTCAAGTTCAGATTTTAACACTACCCATTGATTATTTTTCTTTTTCTTGACAAAGAGACTATGAAGAAATTTAGAGGGTTCAGGCTTGGACGCAAGCTAGTGAAGGTTTTCAAATGGATAATCCGACCCAGAAGAAGAAACTACAGGAATTGTTTCTTGAGACGTCCGACCCGCAGCAATAACCCGTTATCCAGACTCTGCTCTTTGGCGAGGTTTCTTCGACGTGGAACCAAGGGGCTGTTTAGTTCGAATTCCGAACCGGGTTATATCCGATTGGGTGAGAAGGGAGTGAAGCGGGTTGGGGTACCGAAGGGGCATCTTGCCGTGTACGTGGGCGAATCAGAAGGTGAAACGAGGAGGGTGGTGGTGCCTGTGATTTATTTTAATCACCCGTTATTTGGAGAGCTATTGAAAGAAGCGGAGCGGGTTTATGGGTTCAATCAATCGGGTGGGATCATGTTGCCTTGTGGACTTTCGGAGTTTGAGAAGGTTAGGATGAGAATTGCTGATTGGGAGCATTGCCGACGGAAACAACATCGTCGCTATTTGTAATGATATTTTCCCCTCTTATTTTTATGGTGGATAATAATTTGATTTAGCTAATTTTTGTGAATATAGGATGTCAATGATTTTTTTCCCTTTTTTCTTAGCCTCAATTTTCTCTGTCTTTTTGTATTTTTCTCTCCTTTTTGTTTTTAATTTACGAGAATCATTGCATTAAGATTCCTTTTTGTTATTTTATTTCATCATTTAATTTGCATTTTCACTTATTTCATCGGTGATAACTATTAAGCTTACGAGGGTTAAATTTACATCATTAATATTAATTGTTACTACAAATCCAAACTTATCTTATTAGCTATTTATTCAAAACAATTACATTAATACATTTAGAAGGGATCCATCGTGCTATAACTGCATTTTATTGCGTTTTATAATTGAATTTTAAATCATAAAACAACATCGTCACAAAATGAAAAAGACTCTATCGCATTGCCAAATGAATACTAAATGTGTTAATTAGTTCAGATACAGGAATATCCTCACATTATGAGCAACGAAACGTAATTTGTCGTCTATTTATATATAGATAAAAACTTTTAAAATTTTATAACCATTATTATTATGTTAGCGTGAGTAAGTTTGATATTGAAAAATGATTCAATTTTTTACAACCTAACACCAAACATAAAATCCAGTGACAAATTTTATTAGCTAACGAAAAAACAGGCCATGTGCGCAAGCTTGACTTGCGAAAGAGAAAAAATAATAACTGTTAGATCAGTACGTAGAACACGAGCAACACAATGATAGGGAGTTTGGTTATTAAGATTGGCATTATCCAAATACAAGAATCAACGTGGCAGTGGCACGACAGATCTGGGTTTGTATAATGAGCTTAAAAAAGGAAAAGTTGAATCGATCTGACACTTGATCTTAGCCGACGGGCTAGTATGGATTCATGTCTCAGAGTGATCACTGCATCATTGGGGCAGAAAATTTTGATGCTTATTGAACTTCTGTTTTCCGCTAAAAAGGAAAGACTGACATAAGTTTTAAAAGTTAAGTTTGTAAAATTTTTTATTAAAAATAAATAAATAAAATTAAAAATTAAAATCGATAGATTAAAAAATTTCATCACATAAATTAAATATGTTAAATTTAAAATTTTTAATAAAATTTGATATATTAATTAAATAGATATTTTTAATAAAATATTAATAAATTTTTTATTATTGAATAGGTATTGATTAAATTTAAATTATAAATAATACTTTTCGTAATTTTTTTATATGTTATTGTTTTTTTATATTAAATTTTATCAATCTATCGTTTAGATTTTTTATTAAAATTTTTATTAGATTATTTTGAAGATAAAATTTCACAAATTTCATATAAATAATTTTATATAAATTTTGTACGTCTCTAAAGTGTACCAAGTCTTTTTCTGTCATATTCTATTTCCGAAGAAAAAAAAAAGAACAGAGAGAAATCAACACGTAAAATGAACTTTTTTTATATAATTATTAGAAAAACAACTCTGTTGAAATCAATAATTTGGAATTCAAGGATTTGAATTCTGAAAATGCAAATATGATGTAAGTTATATCATGATATAAATAATTTAACATGCATCTTATTTAAAAAAAGAAAAAAAGAAAAAAAAACCTTACATCTATTCTGAAACATAGCACCTGAAATAATTATTAAATATTAAAAACTTAATTTCTATTTGAATACCTTAAATTCAAATCTTAAAGATTACGTAAAAGTTAATTATAAATGAAATAAAAAAATCATTATCTCTTATCCTGTAATTTAGAATATCTAATAATCATTGATATCGCAAGAAAAGTTTCAGCTCGAAGGAAAAGAAAAAAAAAAAAAAAAACCAGAATAAAGAAAACAGCTAGCCTGATTCAACCGGTTAGCTATTTTAGATGAGTAACTCTCCAAGTTTTCTGTATTGACCATGACCGATTGATCATTTCATAGTCCATGAAGAATGGTATATTTTAAAATTATGGATGCAACTTATTAATTGAGACTAATATATTTTATCAAAGCAAGGAGTTGTGGAGGGGACCAAAGAAATTGTAGGTTTTGTCAAAGAAGAGATGAGAAAACAAAGCCAAGCATATTAATTAAATAGATTGTGATCTTGAAAAAATTATACATTGCGAAATCAAAGTGGGGTTTCAATATCTTAGCTAATGTAACAAGTGTCATGAGTCCATTTCATTTCGATCAAGTAAGATGAACTCTCTTACGGCTTCTGCATTTAGAAAATAAATAAATAAATAAATAAAACCATTATATATCGTTTACATTAATGTTAAGTTTGATTAGTGTTTTTGTTTTCCTTTATATTTTTTTATTTTTTTTCATAATGAAATAAGAAAATAACAAATAACAAAAATGTCAACTAAATGAAACCTACTAGTTAACATAGTATTTAATATGATTGCAAAATCCTTAAGTCAATGATTTATACGTTATTGTTATATTTAATATGATTGCAAAATCCTTAAGTCAATGATTTATACGTTATTATTATTATTATTCAAAAAATAATTAATTTCTATTGAGTTCTTAAATTATTATAATAGATCAAAGAATAAATTAAAAAATTCGGTCATGCTTAGAATGATGAATGAGTCAACTACGAAAGAAAATAATGATCAAAGACTAGAAATTTCGGACATGGGTGCTTATTTATAATAGATGAACAAAATTTGGTAAAACTAATATGTATTACAGCAACTCTAGGTCCCTTTGATTAATGTTGAATTAACCTTTTTGGGTCTTCTTATATGCAGAACATGGAGAAAAATAGTAATACTAATTCTATAGGAGAAAGCAAGGAAAGCCTTACTTTGCTTGTTTTCTAAGGCTTGCAAGAAAAGAATAATACTATCAAATACGATAATAGATAGTAGACATTGGGGGACCAGCGTCCACTAAGAGAGGCGCAGGAGGCAATAACGTGGCTATAGCCTTAGCCACTACTCGGTCGTTTCATAATAATTTTTAATTTATGCAGATGAATGAAAGAATGAGAAGCTCAAAGTATAATACCCCAACTTGGCCGGAGAAACAAAGGCTTTTCTTCAATTTGGGGCTCTACAGTTTCATTCCCTTTCACCTTGTTTTTGGATATTCTCAGAAGCATAAACAAGTATATGGATCCATTTGGCCGAATTTCTCCACTACCTCATTAGACCTTTAAAATGTAATTCCCATGTCAAAATTTCCCCTGGTCGAACTATACTGTGAAAAAAAAAAAAAAAAAAAAAAAAAAGAAAGCTATGCCAAATCTTTTACTTTATTCCGTAGGCGGGGCGAGGCCGAAGTCCAGTCCCTTTCTGTTTTTTTACTCTTGGACTTGATATTTTAGGAAGCAAAGATGTTATGTTTTGCTATTGGCAACGAATTGGCCCATCAACATGCCAACGGATCTTAACTTTTCGGAAATGGCCACTCAAAGATTAAGCGGATAAGCCCCAAGGCCATGCTTCCTAAATACTTTCACAGGCCCCTTTGTCTTTGAAAGGAAGCAGCTCAAACTCAGGCCATAGAATATATGTCTACAAATGAACAACTGTAACTATTGTTATTTTGCATTTAATGTACAAATATTTAATACTATAAAAGATCTATATATATATATATATCACTAATTTTAGAAAAGATTCAGGTTTAATGGTAGCCTTGATTTGAAGGGTGCCATTCCCTTAGATCATGGCTACTGCATGCAGTAAGACAAGCTTCCTCCATTAAGGAGGTTAAAACACCACTATTGCAGATGTTCGCGAATACACGCATGTGTTTCATGCCGTATCGAGTTAGGCACCCACAGTGTGTTTCAAACAAACGAACCTGGAATGAAGATTTGGTTATAAACAATGAAGAAAGCAGACTAGTTCAATTTTGGGTGGAAAGTTAAGAGGAAAAGAGACTAATATCATTGATTTCAAGCACTGCCAGTTATCAACAAGTGGCAAACGAGGTTCTCTGACAGAGTTGAGAATGGCAGAGCCCTTTGCTAGTCGATACAAGATTGTTCCAATCAAGTCAATGCTGCCATCCAAGTGAATTCTGTGCCTCAAAGTCTCAGTAATCTGTTTGAACATTTCTGTCCTTGATCCACCTTCTGAATTTTTGTACTGGATAACAAATGAAATTACCAACATCCATACCTAGTCCACTGGGATATCATTTCAAACAAATAAACTACTTTCCCTGTCATGTACAAAGTCAAAACTAAAACCCAAATATACTAGTCTTGTTGGGAAATGCAGGTTTCTGATCAGTCTAGCAAACCTCTTTTGATGAAACAGTAAAATCAAATTTTAAACCTTATGGAACGATTTATAAGAAATTTAGCAAAGGAAAACTTGACTTAGTTATAAAGTTATAATACTGAAAAGGTATAAAGATCTAGCTAGATGAGCAATAGAAAAGAATAGGACTCCAAGCTCATCATATGCCATGAAAAGAGAATATCTGAATCTCTCTGATTAACAGTTTCCATGTGGGTTTCGGGCTCAACTCTATAACTGCCTCTCTTCATTCACTTGGAAGATAAGTTATTCCTTCCATTAAAAAAAAAAAAACAAAGAACAAGACTAGTTATTCCTTCCAAACCTGTAAATTGAACATGCAACTTCTAATGATGTCACATAACAGAGTTTAAGAATCACTAAGAATCAAACCATAATAAGTTAGAAAGGAGCACAAAGTTAGCTATTAACCACATAGTTCTATGGTTAACAAACATGTTTCATGAGGACACTCAATCCCCTTATTGTAAAAGAACAAAAACAACAAAGCTCTTGCTTCTGGTTTCGCTTGCCACCTGATGAAAAATTATCCATTCAACAGACAAGCAGTAAAAATAAAACTTTCAGTATTTCCCCCGCCATGAATACCACTTCAATTTCAACTGAAACCACAGTGGAGGTTCACCCAGAACCCCTCTTGCTAACCTTGAATCAAACACATCAAACTGTACACGGCTGAGGGAGTCCAAGAGAACTTGGGCAGGCACAGCCACTAGAAGTGCTTTTCGAGCCTCAAAAGGTACAGCATCAGCTAAGTCACGGGCTTTCAGCAAATGGGCATTGGCTACTGATGCCATTTCAAAAACTGCATCACATAAGCCCTCACGAGAATCCAAGCGGATCTCTGATCGACCTCCCTCCTTAACTAGCAGCCCATGCTTGGCTGCCACTTTAGCTGGTATGTAAGAAAAGTGACGGTTGCGGCTAGCATGGTATGGCAGTGACTTCAGTAGCAAAAGAAGGCCACTTGCCTTACCAACATGTGATGCTGCATGGTCAACTGCAGTAGACCTGATGCCACCAGACTGAAGAGTCATGTATAGAAGAGTCGATGCAGTATCCTCTGCATATTTCTCTAACTCCTCAATACTCTCTGGTAGGTCAGTAACTTCTTTGCTAGCATCATTGATCCGAGCTTCAACTAACCGTTTCAACCAAGCCTTGCTAATTTTACTTTCAGATATCACTGACGAGAGGGCCTGTGCTGTCGGGTGCTCAATCAATTTGTTAGCATAAATTTTGTCAATGGCTTCTTGCCACCAAACAAGGCGCATGAGACCAATCATGGGATCAGAAGCAACATCCATAGCTCTGGCAGTTTCAACATTGAAAGCGCGGAGTGCAAATGCAGCCTTTCGCATGTCAGGAGGAAGCTCAAGGAGGCAGAGGTAGTGATGATAATCATAGCTCCGCACTTGCTGTACACAGTAGGAGAAAGCTGCCCTTAAGCTACTAGAAACACCGTTCATCAAACTCCCTACTGTGGTTCCTCCTGCAATGCATTAGTATATTAATGGCAAAAACAGATCACTTTCCAGGACAGAATTTCTAAAACTCCATTGTCAATGAGTATTTTCAATAGATAAAGCAAGCTAATGACAAACAGAGAAAGAAGATCCTGATATATTTACTTTAGAAATCCCTCATGAACTGACCATTTTCTAAGCCCAACCTTCCCATTTGCCTAAAAAATGCAATGATTTTAACTTTTATGTTCATACAATAAAAGACAAAGAAATGCAGTGAAAGATCCAGAGACAAGCATGCAATTTATTGAAGGTTACCTATCCAGGCAAAAGATATTGTAACTGAACCTAAGTATTAGTGTTTTAACACTAATTCTAGGTCACTCCATTCAATTACTAAACAAATCCTTTAGTACATGGATTGGGGTGGGAACTTTCCCACGATTTTTAGCAATTGAGAATACTTTATTGAAGACACTTATCAGCATCTGCTAACAGATGGGATTACCAAGGACTCATACGAAAAATGGGGTTTCTGAATTCTAGACAAACTTAACTATTAGCTCTCATACAAAGTAAATTGAGAAGTAATAAGTCAGAGAGACATTTCATCGAACATGCAAGATACATTATTAAGATCCAAAGTACATAGTAACCGATCTGAGCCCCCGAGCAAGATATTAAAGAGGGCAAAGGGTAACATACCGAGAGTAATATAAGCGTTTCAAATGGAAGTAGCAAAACCAGAGACTGAGCGCGGCGAGCAAGCAATTGTTCGTGTGGAAGCCACAAGAGAAACAAATACGGTAAAAAATTTCAGGGGTTTCCCCCTTTTTCCTCGATGATGAAAACGACGTCGTTTGCGTTTTTACCTCTCTTTCCTCCTGTGCTCCGGTCTACTTTATAGGGGCGTTTAATTACTCTGAACTCGTCGACTTATTTACATTCGTGCTTTTAAACTAATTAATTAATTTCTAGAATTTAAGATTACGTTTTTAACTTATTTTATTCAATTTTTTTTATTTTAAATTTCAAATCAACTTCTCTATATCCATAATCAAAGTTTAATCTTGTTTTATTTCGCATATTTTTGGCCAAATAATTATTGATTCAAATAAAATAAAAGTAGTTATGTAATCTTAATGCAAAAGGAAAAGATATAAATATATCCATAAATCCTTCCACTGGCCGTTAAAATGTGCATGTTACTTGCTATGAAAGTCAATTCCAGAATCCCATTCGCTTTAAGTAAATTCCAGACAGCAGTAACATTCTTTTCTGTACCAAATTGCTGATAAATTGATCAATATTTTGGTCCTGGTTGATCATTTGCCAGGCAGTTGAGGAGACTTCAACAAGATGAGCGAAGGCGGAGAATAAACGGGACAAAAAAGTTAATGAGAAAAGTTCACAGCAAATTTTTTAGAATTTCCAACTGAAACTAGTTTTTATGAATTAATCCATCCAAATTCACACAGCAAAGTACAAATTTACTGAACTGGAAAAAGTAAAAGTACTTAAATTTTTCTTCACATTTATCTGATCTGGACAATCCCAGCAGTGACCAGCTTTTGAATCTTGTTCATCACCATAGGATTCTTCGTGTGCTCCTGGGCTGCCTTTGGATTCTCCTGGAAATCAATCAACACCTGCCATCCCAACTCTTTTTCAGTAAACACACAAACAACAAGAATCCAAATATGATCACATTGTAAGTACTGCACAGCTGAACCAATAATTTTTCACCACTTACCTGTCTCATGACTGGGTCTGAGAGAATGTTTTGAATTTCTGGATCTTGCATTGCCTTGGCCTGCAACACACCAATTTAAATTTATATTGACATCCTAAGCAGCTTTTAGAACCCTAATGTAAACAAAAACAATAACAAATCCTCACCTGTCTTTCCTTCAATTCTTCAGGGCTCAAATCACCTCGACTAGCTTTGTTAATCTGTTCTACGCATCTGTAAAATAATTGAGGAAACAAATAACTATACGATACTACTGAAATAGGAACACAGAACCACAGATCTAAAGCCGCATACCTTCTAACACCATCAAGCAATTCCTGGTTATTAGGATCATGTTTCAACCCTTCCTGGTATGTTTCTAAAGCTTTGTCATACTCCTTCATGAAGAACTGAATAGCACCCTTTCTTGTGTAACCCTTAGAAAAGGTTGGATCGAGCTCAATGCACTTCTCAGCATCTTTCAATCCCTCAGGCAATGCACCCAATTTAGTGTAGCATGCAGCTCTATTGCTGTACGCCTGAAAGGCCCAAATGCATTTAACAGTCAATGAGATACTACTTTTTGTGACTTGGTCACAAACAAACTCACAAAAATAGAATAAAGCCTCTTACCTTTGGATCATTGGGGTTCCTTCTCAATGATTCTGTATAATACTTTACAGCCTCCGGATGCTTCTGCTGCTTGAAACATTCATTCCCTGCATATATGTTTGTGCAGTCAGCAGATGAACATTATAGGGGACTACTACTTTTGCTCACTCCAGCATGACTATTACATGTGGACTTAGACCAAACTCAAATGAACAGGACAGTGAGATGTAGCTTAAACTGGGAAAGACCAGTGGCCAGATACAACATAAACTAGTAAAAAGAATCTGAGATTAAGAACCATGATGGTGCAAGCAAAAACTAAACAAAAACTGATAAAAAAAGACCTTTCTCACGCTCCTCATCAGCTATCTTAGGATCAAAATACTCTTGTTGTTCCAGTTCCTTCTTTGCTTTTTCTGCATCATTTAGTTTCTTCAATGTGTCTGGATTGCGATGCTCTGTAAGAGCTTTCTGGAAAGTCTCAATAGCTGGTTCATAATCTTTTGAGGATTTCGCCATCTTCACCAAAGCAGTTCCCTTCCTGGTCAAAGCTCTTGCTATCATTTTAAAGTCTGATCTGAGCTCTCTACCTCTTTCAACAGCCTTGTCACAGTCTTTAATGCAGTCCTCATACTGCAGTCGACAAGTTTAGTAGGCAAGAAAAGGGCAGCGATGTTAGATATACATATAACCCATTGTGATCTATATAACCCTTAATGTAGGTTCTTTCCAAGCACAGAACAAGCTACGCCACATGATGCTGTTAGAAAGGTTAGGTCCAGTAGAAATAAGGGGAGCCAAAGAATGATTATGATAATGAGTTCAAATCTATCCAAATCCAAAAATTTGAAACCTTCAGTAATGGTATTGGCAGGATAGAATAAAAGGAGGCGAAAATCAATTAAAAACTAGGCCTTCCCCTACCCTCTCGCAAAGTCATCTTTTAAAGAAGAAGAATGCAAAATATGTTTGTGTTTGTGTGTGTATAAACCCATGAATACCAACATAATTAAGCAGATAATATACATTCTGGACGATTAGGAATGCCTGACAGAACACTCACAATCACGCCATCATAAAATCATACTCTGCAATCATGATAAGTTTGACACTCAAGATGTACTTTCATAAGTTCAAACCTCTGAGAGTAGAAGTGACCCAACAGTGAACATCATTCTAAAGAAATATATAATCATTAATTATTGTATACTAACATGAAATTAGCATGAATCCTACTAATCTAAGCCACCTACATTTCGAGGTTTTCAACTAAAAGGCAAATGTAAAAAAATAACATCAACCAACAATTTCACAAATAGAAATAAATAATCATACCTTGCCGATTTCCAAATAAACGGCAGCCCGATTGGTGATGAACGAAATATCTTCATCATCAAGCTCCATTGCTTTCGTGTAATGCTGAATAGCCGTCTCGAAATCCTTCTTCTTATATGCAGCATTTCCAGCCTCCTTCTCCTTTAAAGCTTTCTCCTTTTTCTCCTTCTTTTCCTTCTCTTCCGTAATTTCCATCGGTTCTGGTTCAGGTTCAGGCTCTGGCTTCTTCACCTCCTCCTTAGCCGGTTGTGAAGGCGGCGGAGGTGGTGGTGAATCAGCCTCCGAAACCTCCATGTCATCCCCAGCTCCATGTGCCTTAAACTTAACATTCAACAAAACCCCCAAAGCTTGCATAACTCTCTGATCTTTCAAATACTCGTTCAATTTGCTAGGATTTCTCTGAATCTCCTGCATCGCCTTAACAAAATCCGGCTGCTGTAAATAAACCCTAGTCGTCGGATCCGCCGTCAACTTCGCCCACATCTCCGGGCCCTGAAAAGCGTCACCAAAAGGACTAGGCGATGACGCTGCCCTAGACCGGGAAGCCGAAGCCGAAGCCGAAGCCGAAGCCGTCGCCGCCGATTGAGCATCAGCCAAGCCGGACTTCAAGGCTTCATTATTAGGATCAATCTCGAGACCCTTTTTATAGGCCGAAATGGCGTCCTGGTATTGGTGTAAACCGAGGTGAGCCGCGCCGAGCCTGCTGTAACCTTTCGACCAGTCCGGTTTAAGGTCGACGGTCTTTTTCGCATCAGATAACGCGGCATCATATTGGAGGAGAGAAGCGTAAGCGGCGGATCGATTAGAGTAAAGGACGTGGTTGGTCGGAGAAAGGTTTATAGCTTCAGTGAAGTGTTTGATTGCGGTGTTGAAATCGCCGGAAGAAAAGGCGGCGTTGCCTTTAGCTTTGGCTTCGTCCGCCATTGTAAAGGAATTTGTTAGCTTTAATTTTGGTGTTTTGGGTACTTTAGATAGTGAAGGAACGAAACAGAGAAGGGATCTAAAATAGGGAAGTTAGAGGAGCAGACCAGAGACCTCTTGTGCTTCTGGAAGCTTCTTAATCTGCTAGGATTAGGGTCTGTTTGTTCATGGGCTGATTTATTTCCCGAATTACCTAACCGTTATTTGGTTATAGCATAAGAAGGTTTAATAGATTGGGCCCTTGATGGCTTTGCCTTTTTTTTTTTTCAAGTATATGCATTTCCGCTATCCAATGGTTTTGTCCTTAATAAATTTGAAGACAGAAGCAGTGTTTGTGCTTACGAATTTGTTACTTTTGTATCCCAAACTGATACATGAAATTTAAAATTAAAAAAAAAAAAAAAAGGGAAAAAGAAGAGTAATGTTGCACTTTATGGAGTGAACAAAAAAATTGTGCTCCTGGTAGTTGGGACGCCAGGAAAAAACAAATCAAGCGGCAACTTCTTGCCCTTTTGAAGCAAGCTCGTTCTGGATGTGTTGAGGAACAACATCAAACTTGGCTAGTTGCATGGTGTAGGATGCACGACCTTTTGTCATTCCTCGGAGAGTGCTGACATACTGGAACATCTCCGCGAGCGGAACTAGGGCATCCACCACCTGCAGTTATCCAACAGCAAACCATGAACAGTAGGATTACAAGGAAATTTATCCTCCATCTCGAATCCAAAATGAAATTATAGAACAACTGTTAGCATTCTGATACGAAGTTTGAATGGTCCAGATGTGAAAATGGAACTAAGTCATAGAATTGCAATGGTTCAGATGCCAAAATGGTACCAGATCTGGGCTTCTGCTGCCAAAGCTCTCTACCAACTAAGAGTTAATTATTAATATGCAGTTTGTCTAATCATGTTACTATGTACAGTAAATGTTGAAAATAACAAATTTGAAAGCAACAAATTTAACAAGAAAGGACTAGGTAATTTGATATACCTTGAGCCCACCAGGTTTATCACCAAAGCTGTTAATCTGGCCTCTTCGGGAGTTGAGATCACCAATCACATCACCCAAGTGTTCTTCAGGTGTGACAACCTCAACTTTCATTATAGGTTCAAGCATCCTAGGGCCAGCCTTTCTAATCCCCTCTCTGAAGGCTCCCCTGGCTGCCAGCTGAAATGCCAAGACACTTGAATCAACATCGTGGTAAGAACCATCTACTAGCACGGCACGTACATCAACAACAGGAAAGCCTGCAAGCACACCATTATTCATACACTCCGCCAGTCCCTTCATCACTCCAGGAATATATTCTTTTGGCACTGCTCCTCCCTTGATTTCACTCTTGAACTCATATCCACTACCTGGACCCATCGGCTCAAAACGTACAGTAATATCAGCAAACTGCCCTTGCCCACCTGACTGTTTCTTATGCACATACTTTACTTCTGAAACTTTAGAAATGCTCTCACGGTAATTTACTTGAGGTACACCAATATTAGCTTCTACCTACAGGCACCAAGCAACCAAATTTATGACAATTAGAAGTGAACTTGATACCAACTTAAAATGCTAGGGGCAGAAGAAGTGTTGATTTTACCTAGGACAACTTCACAAGAGAACACTCTCCAACCCATAAACAGACGAGATAATAAGAATAGATCCAATTTTGCAAACAGTAATCTCCAAACAGATCAAAAGAATAGCATGCATGCGTGTGTATTTAATATTTTGCCTTGGTACAGTAATTAAATGCACACACAGTTGAAATGGATGATTAAGGGTATTAATATGTTTCACAATTAGATGTTCTACAAACCTTGAACTCTCTCTTCAGACGATCAACAATAATCTCTAGATGCAATTCTCCCATTCCTTCAATCACAGTCTGGTTGATCTCTTCATCCAGTGAGAAGTGGAAAGAAGGGTCTTCTTGAGCAAGCTTGATCAAGCCATTAGCCATTTTATCAACATCAGCTTTAGTCTTGGGTTCAATAGCAATCTTAATCACGGGATCAGGGAAGTCCATCCGTTCAAGGACAACAGGATGGTCAGCATCGCTGAGAGTTTCACCTGTAATAGTATCTTTTAGACCTGCAAGAGCAACAATATCACCAGCCAAAGCAACCTTAACATCCTCTCTACTGTTGGCATGCATTTCCAAAAGTCTACCAATTCTCTCTTTCTTTCCTTTGTTTGCATTCAGCACGTAAGATCCTGCACTAAGCTTCCCTGAATACACCCTGACAAACGTTAGGGATCCCACAAATGGATCAGTCATAATCTTGAAAGCTAGTCCAGAAAATGGTTCATCATCACTTGCTGTCCTTTCAATTGTCACTTCAGGGTTTTCAGGATCAGTCCCCTTCATAGCTGGCAAGTCAAGAGGTGATGGCAAGTAATACATAACAGCATCAAGTAACGGCTGAACTCCCTTATTTTTAAAAGCTGAGCCACATAATACTGGCACAAAACTGCTTCCAATGGTACCTTTCCTAATTAATTTATTAATGGTTTCCTCATCAGGCTCAACTCCTTCTAGATAGCTCTCCATAGCTTGATCATCTAATTCAACTATGGTTTCTATCATTTGTGACCGGTACTCTTCAGCCAACTCCCCAAGATCAGCTGGAATATCGACATAGTCAAACTTTGCACCCAACTCTTCCCCTGACCAGAGAACAGCTTTCATCTTTACAAGGTCAATCACTCCTTGAAAATTGTCTTCTGCACCAATTGGTAGTTGAATCACAAGTGGTTTAGCACCCAAATTTGTTACCATCATGTCTCTTGTCCGGAAAAAGTTTGCTCCTAGACGATCCATCTTATTGACAAAGCAAATTCTGGGTACTCCATACTTATCAGCTTGCCTCCACACAGTTTCAGATTGTGGTTCAACACCAGCAACACTGTCAAACAAGCATATAGCTCCATCTAAAACCCTGAGAGCTCGCTCCACTTCAAGTGTGAAGTCAACATGGCCAGGGGTATCAATAATATTAATTCGGTGCTTTTTCCAAAATGCCGTAGTTGCAGCTGATGTTATGGTAATACCTCTTTCCTGCTCTTGCTCCATCCAGTCCATTGTAGCGGTGCCCTCATGTACCTCACCAATTTTATAGTTTCTTCCTGTGTAGAATAGAATACGTTCTGTTGTTGTGGTCTTTCCTGCATCTATGTGAGCCATAATTCCAATATTGCGATAATCTTTCAATGGCACCTCACGCTTTGTCTCTGTGAAGAAACCAAAAAGATTTCCATCTCAGAATGTTACAAAGTAGCAAGAAATTTGTCATAATGTGTGGAGTCCAATATTCTCTTCTGATTATCCCTTAAAACTTAAGAGGTTTCTAGGCAAGAATGCTCTTGACTTTGTAATTAAAAACAAGAGTATTTACTAATGCGTATCAAATGAAAAAGATTGAAAATTCAACACACTATTTGAGTGTCCAATGAACCGAAAATTAGCTTAAACTGGCAAGTACACCAAATTTCAATGGCCAAGATATGAAAGAACTAAATTAAAGCTGAAACAAACATAAACCAGGTGTAAAAGTTGCAAAACATAAAACCCAAATTAAGGGTACACCAAATTACTTCAGGAAATGAACAATTTCAACCACATAACTTAAAAGACTAACACAAAACAAGAAAAAACAGAGCAAGAAACAGAGAAATAAAGGATATGTACCGTCGGCGGCCATAGCGAAGACAGAGAAGTTCCTTCTCTTCCCATGTTGATGACGGGAAATGGGAAATCTAGAGCCAATTCGGACACTTCCCAAGAACTGAGAGAGAGAAGAGGAAATTGAAGAAGAAAAAGAAGCTCGAGGAGGCAGACCCAGAAAACGAGTTACAGGAGATAGAGGGGCTGGCCTCCTGTGAGACCCATTTAGATTACAAACAGTTGCACTCGAACCTGTTACTCTCAGAGCTATCTCTACTGCCATTTTCTTCTTTTACTACTTCTCAGTTATCACTCTAACTCTCTCTGTTTTCTCTTCTTTGTTTTATATTGGCTTTGGTTGGTGATTTTTATGTGTGAGGTTAGGGATAACGAGCACTAAGAGGTTCTCATCAGTTTTAGCTTTGGTTCCGTCTTTTGCTGTTTTATTTCTTTTTATTTCTACAATTTTTTTTTCTGAACCCAAAAATTTGATAAAATTTCGCTATGTCTGCCATATGTTTGCCATCAAGTATGATTATAATAACCAAAATAACCTACCCTTTGCTTTATTTATTATTTTTTTTTATAAAAAAAGTGGTTTAAAAATAGAGATGGAAGATTTAAATTTTAAATTTAAATTTTTTTTTTTAAATATTGCATAAATTAATTAATTTTAAATTTTATTTTATTCAAAATATCATTATAATAAATAAGTAATATTATTTTAAAAAATTCATTTAGCGTCTCTAAAGAACTCATTAATCACATCTTTTGATTTAGAATTCATCATAAACTCATTAATTATATTTTTGGTTTAGGATTTAGATTTTCACTTTTAATGTATGAATCTTAGTAAAATTTCATTCATTCAAATAAATCAAGTTTGAGAACGTATTTATAGGAATGAAATTTACTTTGTTACAAAAATAAATAAATAAAATTCACATAATTTCATGAAAATTTATATTCACATGCAATTATCATGGATTGAAAAACACAATCTCATATTTATATGCATTTTTCCCATTGATAATTTGGAAAGGAAATGTAATAGTCTTGTTAATAACTTGGGTGGTAGCTAGAATTTGAAGGAAAAAAGGCTTATAATGAGCGGATTTATGATTTTTTTTAAATATTTATTTATAATATATATAAACTATCGATAAATTTATTAATTTTATAAATGAAAAAATATTTAAGATAAAATTTCCTTCAAAAATTTTTTTCAATCTTTAAGAGTGCTTAGGAATTTTTTTTTAAATTTTATTTATTTTCCAATCATAGACATCCTCCCATAAAAAGTGTCATAAATTGCAATTAAGATCAAGTTCAACCATTATAACAAAAGTCAAATTTGAGCATTTGAGTGTTTGATTGTTTGATATAATTATAAATGCACATATTTTAGTGTTAAAATAAAAATTTAGATTCAAAATTTTACTTTTTAAATTGAAAAAAAAAAACAAATTTCCAAGAAAATATTGATGTTATAGACTTTTAGCTCATTATTATGATTTCCAATTTATAAGCTCAATTCAAATGTGTTGGCTAACTTGAATTTAAAAAATGTCAATATTGCAAGATAATTTCATTCATAATTTTTTAATTATAATTTTATAATTATTTAATTATAATAAAAAATTACGTAAAAATATGTCATTTATAAGAACTTTATATAAATTATTTATCAACTCCATTCAATTTAACTTGTGATCAACTACTAATTCATCATAAATTCATAATGATAATAATAAATGGCAATTCTGTAAAATTGTAAGTGATATTGGTGGTAGTAGTGTCCACAGGTGGAAAGAATGAAAGGACAACGTTCCAATTTGCAAATATAGGGTTGGAAAACAACGGGCTTGAAGATGCCACGTATGGCAGAAATTATATATCCGCATATATGAGGATGGTGGGGCAGGCAGCCAGGGACTCCGGTGGACTCCCCTCAGCCTATCCATTGCTTGAGCTTTAAAACCTCCACACGTGTTCACTAATTCGCACGATTTTTTTTTTTTTTGAATTTTTTTTAGTTAAAAAGTGTTAGTCATCTATACCCATGGAATGGTATTGTGCAAAACTCAGTGTGTAGTATATTTTTAAGATCATTATATTAATTTAATTAGATTTAAGTTTGTGTGATGCATAGATAATAATTTTAATTTATAATAAAGTTTAAATAAAGTAAAATGAAAATTTAAATACTAATAATTGACTAATAATAATAATAACTTAGAAGTAATTACACTAAAAAGATTCAAATTAGTAATAATATTCATTTAATATTTAAACACTTTAAAATAAAAAGACAATAAAAATAGAATAAATGAAAATTTTGATTGAAAAATGATATACATACAAATTTTTTAATACATGAGTAACAAATTCCTTTTTTATTTGAATTTGTAATTAAATTTTCATTTATTTATTTTTTTGGACTAATAATTAAAATTTTTTTCCAAATCCAAGTTGAAATTTATAATATTATTGAAAGTAAAATGTTATCAAGTAAATCAATTTGGACATAAGACAATCAAAAGACATGTAAAACTAAATTAGACTATCAGATGTAAAAAATATAGATCAACCATAAAATTATATGATTTTTTAATATATATACTATTTTTTAAAATTTATAATATTATTTATCAAAAAAAACATAAACTTATTTTATTTTAAGAAATATTATATTTATAATTTTGACAAAATTTTATTTTTTAATGATAAAATACGTTGTTAGTATTCTCATAAAACTTAAACATGTCAGCCTCAATATATATAAACCGAATAATTATATGACACTTCAAATTTACTTTCCATATATATTTCAATACATTAAAAATAAAAAATTCAATATGAATTTAAATTTTTTAAAATATTAAATTAATTATATGTTTTTTAAAATATATGAAATTCAATCAATATTCTAAAATTTTAAACAATAATAAAAATTTTAGTAAAAAAAATATATATATAAAATTTTATAAAAAATAAATTTTTAAATTTTAAAAATAATTGTATATATTACCCAAAATATATAATATAATCTTGTAATATGTAATCAAAAATTTATATTTATAAAGATTACTTTTTTATTATATGTATAGTATAACTCTGTATTATAGTTAAATTAGATATAATATCAACATAAAACATATATGAATACCAAATTTAAAAATTATATATGGAAAAGAAATAAATCAACTCACTTCATACAAAAAGTAAAAAATAAAATATATACTTGATACATATGATAGGATAAGTGATAAGTGATCACTTTTTATAATTTATTACCTTGCTCTTTTTATTTCGTAATAAAATATAATAGGAATTTTGCATATAAATCGATATCATAATAAAATCTTTAAAAAGAGTATAAAAATATATAAATATATGTATAATTTAAACTATAGTAGAACTAATAACAATAGTCAAAACTTAAAAAGAAGTCCAAAATATTAAATTTTCTAGAAAGTTTGCTTAATTTCAAATTTTCTTTTCAAAATGATTTTTTTTAAAATCATTATACAACTATGACAAAGAATTAATCTAAAATATCTTATCACAAAAGAAAAAAACAAAGCAATACCCAAAATAATACAAAACCAAATATAAAGTAATTTATACATCTAATCTATCTATATATAACATCACAAACAAAAAAAAAAAATCTAAATTAGGTTCACGGTGTGGCAAAAGAATGTCACGAAAATAAAAAAAAAATACTGTAGGGATGCAATTTATTTCTTAAACATCTCAAAAATACTCTTATTTATAATATAGGTCTTGAAAATAATTATGAGATGATTTGTAACTTTTGAATGTTTAATTTACTAAAAGGAATTTAAAAACCAAATCAAGAATAGTAATAATATTTTAAATTAAGAGTAATTTATGCTTGATAATTAAAATAATCAAACATTTTATGCATTTAACTTGTCTTGAAAAAAATGAAAAAATAAGGATTTTGAAATTAGTGTAATAATGGTAATGAAATTCATTTTGTTTGAAATATTCAAAATTAATTTTAATTAATTTGATCATGTTTTAATCATTTTAAAATTTATAATATATATATATATATGCATATTGAACATGTGTACATAGCTTAAAAGGTAAAGTAAATAAATAGATCATAGATTAAAATATTAGAAAGTGAATTTTTTTTAGACAAATGCAATTTAAAAGTTTAATATTATAATTGAAAAAAAAAAGAACAAAAAATTATTATATGATGATGACAATTAAAGTTTATTACTTTTGATATGAATTTATGGAGAGTGATTTAAGGTAAATAATAATAAATAAATAATTTAATTAATTTAATTTAAAAAAATAATTCAAATAAAATAAAACACAGACATATAGCAATTTTCAAGATCGTTCATATGTCAATAATATAGGGCATTTACATTGAATTTTTTTTTATCAAAAACTTTGGCATTTATATATTTATATTAGATTATCAAGGTGATCTTATTATTAATGTGATTTTATCACTCGTGATTTAAAATCATTTTATTTAGTTAATAATAATCAATTGCTAGGAATTAAATATTATGTGCTTGGTATTATTAAAAATTAAATATGATTTTATTTAAAAATATCAAAATAATCATGTATATTGTAACAGTTACATAAGTTAACGATTTTAATATTGATAATAATAATTTGTAAAAGATAATAATATTTTGTTTATTTATAATAAAGTATGATTAAATTATTAAATTAATAAATATATTTATTTATTAGATAAACCAATTTTTATAATATAAATTATGTAAAAAATATTTGATTTAGAAATTAAAAATAATCTATTAAAACCATAATAAAAAAAACAAAAAGATTATATTATATATAAAACATTAAAAAGTTAAAAATACACAAATTATTTTTGAACTTATTATGAACATTAATTTGAACATATAAACATTTTACAATTTTAAGAATAACCAAAATTTTAATTCATATATTAAATAGGTAATATAAAATAATTACAAATTTAAGAAGAAACAAGTTTTTATTTCACGTATTAAATGGGTAATATTGATTATTGTTAAATTTACATCTCATTTTATTTTGTAATAAAAGTTTCTCACATTTTTTTATAGGAATTAGTTCACTTCCCAATGTAGTAATCTAATAACTTTCTATGATTTAAGATTATTGTCATGAAGGATCATAAAGTAATTATTAAACATAAAGATCTAATCACCATATGTAGATCACCATAATTTTTTAAGTGAACATCTCATACCAAACATTGCATTAAAAAGTTAATATTTTATACATTATCGATTTAAATTTTTAATTTCACTTGATATATTTTATTTTTAATTATTTTTAATTATCAAATAAATTAAGAGGCTGACATATATTTTATTTTTTTATTTTTAAAACATACTTTAAAAGTATATGTATCATCTTATAAATCTTT